ACGTGTGAGCAGGTAGATCACGCCAGAGCGTCGGGCCCTACAGTGTGAGAACATACATCATGAGCTGTGAACTTTTAAACCCTGGGGTTTCGTCGTACATTGTGAGCTGTAGCTGCGTGCAACAGTTGGAAATATCACACAGTGTATGCCCGGCTTTAGCTGTTACTGACTTGGATACTTCTGTTTCAACAATTCAAAATGGTTCAAATCAAGGTTTTTGTTTTCTGATTCGACCACTAAATATACTTTATTCTACATGAAGAACATGGTGTAGCGTTATTGTAGGTTAAAACCAGCGTGAAACAAGTGAAACTCAGTGGTTTTATTTGATACATTTATCAGATTCAATTACATTATTGCCCTAAAATAATTTATTTGGTCTGATCCATTTTGAAATATTCATGAGTCCTTTACTTTCGTTGCTTTTTACATCTCTTCAGCATTAAGTCAGGTGTGTTTGTGCTTTCTCATTTTTTACAATATTAATTCAAATATTTTTAGACTGTATGAAGGGAATTCTTGAGCTCTTGATCCCAATTACTGTACATAACAAGCATGATGTGTGTACTTTTCATTTTATCTGTAATACTATTTAAATCCATATCTCATATTCAGGTCAGGTTTGTTTTAAAATGAAGTTTCTTTATAGCAGCACTAAATCAGTGTCACTCAGTTTCTCTTGTAACAATATTTAGATTTAGCGGTAAGGAAGAACCTGTGCAACCGGACTCCGCTGTGTGTTTGGGAAGCACCTATCACATTTCAAATTGGCAGAGTTACAAAGACTGCAGGATTCAGGAGTAAATCGTCCAAATGATTTCCTTTGATCCACAGCCAATACCTAATGATTTATGGTTTTAAATAATGTTTGGAGATTATCTATTGACCTCTGTCAACCCCAGACATAAAACAGTAATAATTATCTGAAAAACGAGCTGCCAATAGTTCAGTTGTCAGCTTTGTTATATTAGAATGATTAGTTATTTTAGAGTTTCCCCACAAAAATTAATCATTTTTGTTGTGTTTATAGTTGTCATACTTGTTTAATACTTATTAATACTTTACTGGCTGAACAGCAGTGCGCAGCAACCAGTTGGGGAGGGGCTGCGTACTACTGCATGCTCCAGTCATTCCAACTCTTTCTGTTGACTTTCTTCTAAAGGACTTTAAACCTTGAGGAGCATCGCTAATATAAGCCGTTATAAAACTATTTAAAAAAATTGTACTATTTGTTTACCGTCAATTTCAGTAGCATTTAGATAGCATTAATAATAAAAGAGAGTAAAAATGAGTAATCAAAATATAATTTATTAAAAGAAATATTGAATGATGAAAGAGAATAAATTAAATCTTTTGAATGGTGGTTATTAGGAGCTATAATAATAGCGCTAAATGTTACTACTGGAGAAAAATGTAAAACAGAAAAGTTTATCTAAAATGCTTTTTGTTTGTACTTATTTTGATCTTTCAAATCTTGGTCTACAGTATATTTTACATTTTATTCCTTCTTCCACAATAGGTCTGAGACTTCATGTTACTCTAATATTTAGTGTTAGTTTTAAATGAATAGCACAAGTTTATTTACATAAATATTTCAGTAGAAAGATGATTTAAAATGCTGGGTCAAGTGTCTTCTAAATTAATCCCGCTAGTCTCCTGAGATTAGAATAGAGCTTTTCAGACCTGACATCTTTGTGCTATGCTAAGTTGATTGCTAATAAGACAACAGACCTAAAAGTAGAAGCTGTATACGGAAGAGCAGTGTTGAATTTTATTCTGGGAAGTTTTTATTTTTTAGAAGCTGATGGAAATTGTGTTGTGTGGTGAAACCAAGTTGTTTTCAGTTTTACTTTGGCTTTAATTAAAGTTGTTTGAGGATTACTAAATGTCTGACTGCTGGGTGGCAACTCTAGTGGGGGCAGAAGTACCTGCACGAGGCTTAGCCTCAACAATAAATCACTCCTACAGAGTCACACATTCACGCAGGCCTACTCATTACACACTTGAGTCATACAGAAACTGTGCAGGTGAGCTCATCCGTGTTAATACTTCCTCAGTCTGGCTTTGTCTTCACGGAAAACAGCTTGTTTGAAATATAAATATTTTGTTATTTGAGCTCCAGGATGATAGTATTGAAAATAAAGATTCTGCCAAATATTTCTACTTAAACTTGTAGTTTTACAATCAATTTCATGCTATTAGAAGACTTTAAAGGTGCGTTGCAAAGATGGGGCTTTATATTTCTGCAGCTACTAGCTTCCTTAATTCTAATTGTTTATACATGAGTTATTTTGTTATTTCAGACTGGATATTTGAACCCCCTCATTTTATTTTTTATCTAGTTTAGTTTTTTGGGTGGCTGGCTGTAGACTTGCTGTAACACGTCAGTGTTTTGAATCCCGCTGTGGAAGGGAACCCCTCCTTAACCGATGTCTGACAGTGATTGAGATAGATCGCAGGGCGGAAGGAAGGAGACGGAGACGTGACGCAGAGGATGAGAGCCACGGGCTATAGCACCAAGGAGCATGTGTCTGGGAAAACTGCCTTGTTTTAACTTCAAAGATGACCCCTCTCAAGATTCTGCAAAGACCTTGAATTAGGCGGGCAGACCCTGCACTTTATCATCGTCTCTCTTCCTGTTTGGTTAAAGCCTTATCCTAAAAAACCTCCATTCAGTCCCAGATGTAAAAATTAGTTACAAGTCATCTTTTTTCTTTGCTATTAAACAAACATCCAACCACACAAGCATCCAAGCTATTAGTTCGGATAAACCAGTGCTGTGCTATAAAACTAAAAATCTAGACTCGAGATTTAGCCAAAATAAAAAAATTAATTTATTTTGTTTATTATTGAAATAACTTGGAAAGCAGTCAAATTTGGGAGAAACTACAGTTTGGTGACAGATTCTAAACTTTTGCTCTGTTTAGATTTTTGATTTCAATTTCATTTTAAAATGGAGATTAAAGTACAATTATAAGTTTAAAAGGTGTTTTAATTTACCTTTTAGTTTGATAAAATGACCTTAATAAAGGGATCAAGCTAAGGTGTGAGAGATGCTTTTAGAAAAAACTTCTGATATGTCTGTAAAAATTAAAGTTTCACTTTAAGAAATCATAGTCCCTAATAGTTATTGCAATAGGAATTTGAAGATGGATTATTGTCTTTTAAATACTAAATAGCAAAGATTTGTAGGAAAAAAAATAAACTGAGTCAGATGAATCTGTTGAAGCTGTGCAGACGTAATAATTTGTCTGCAGAACAGAAGGGCAGTGTTATACTCACAATATATTTTACTGTCTATTTCTACTTTGTTCTTGTAGAAATATTGTTGGCTAATCCATCCCAGGTATAATGATCCTCCATTCTAGGTGCTAATCTTATATTTAGTCTATTGGGCTCCATCTGGCTGCAGCAGATGGTCACACTGGGAAAAGAAATACGAGTCAGAGATATAGATGAAATAACAAAGAAGGCATTTATCACACCTGATTACTCTTATCGTCACTATAGCAAGATTTTATCAACATTTTGCCGACCTACAGCAAATAGCTTACTGAACAGAACGTAGTTTTAGTCTGTGCTCCAAAACCAAACATTTAAAGAAATACTTTGATTAGGATTCAGATCATCTATCAGATCCACTGTTCTGCCAAATCATATGAACAAGAACTAGTTTTTAATTCCCCTAAGCCAGCTGAATAGTCATAGTTACCTTTATTTGCCATCAGGATTTAACTTTACAAAGACAAAGAACAAGGATTTCTTAAACTGCTGTGTTCCTTTGCATATTTTAATCATTTCATCTGCAGAAAAGAATAATTTGAATCAAAAGCACATGACAATGTACTAGTAAACGTATTTAGAAATTGCCCGTCTACTTTTAAGGCAAGGCATAAAAATGTCTTTTTTCCCCTTTTGTTAGGTTGTGACTCCATCTTGGAGAGAAATACCAGTTTGCATGTTGCCATCAAAATATTAGATTATAGATGACAGAGTGGGGCTTGTTTTCAGTGTTTAGTCCTGTTATTCTCTTAGGCTATGGGCTCAGCTTTTACTGTGACTTTCTGGATTTGCTCTTTCCTCCCTTTGACATGAAAACTGGCTCAGAGCTTGTCTGCTTAACTGTTTCTGTCCTAGACAGAGCCACTTATGAAGAGAGCTACAGTAGCTGTTATCTTTTCATAGAAAAGAAGGGGGATCATAGAAACTATATTGTAGATCAGTGCTCCTTTGTGCCTGCTGTATGTTTGTTTCTGTCTCCTTGAACCCCAGCTGGCCTCAGCAGATGGCTGCTCACACTGTCTGGTTTTGCTGAAGGTTTCTTTCAGTTAAAAGGGAGTTTTTCCTCTCCACCGTTCCCTCACAGTGTGAGGGATTGCTGTAGAGTCAATGATGCAAGCACATTTCTACTGTCTCTACAGGCTCATCCACGACCAAATCCTGCAAAGTGAGTGACTTGTAATTAGCTGGTTTTCCCTCAAATGGAAAACTTTTTACCGATCTGACTGTTCGTTCTGATTGAACTGTTTCTGTAAAGTACCTTGAGATGAGACGTGCTGTGAGTTGGTGGTGGATAAAGTTAAAATGGTCTGAGTTGGCCTAAATTACACGTCTATGTCCTCAAAAAGCTAAACTGACACACCAACACCCAGCAGACAGTGAGCACACCTGCAGGAGTTGTGCTGCAGCTCTTTCCCCAGAAAATATCAAAATGTAATATTAAACTGTCAATGTTTTCTTCAAAATGGAGGGCCTTAAGACAAGGTGAGCATTTGTTGCATTCTCCAAATCTTAGACTTGATTCGAAACCTTTAAAACAACTGAGAAATTCTGAAAACTGTGTGCTCCACTCTTCAACAAGATCATTTGAAGGAGTTTATTTACTGTGTACCTCTTCAGATCCAGTGTGTACATCCATATTGTCTGTGTTATTAGACAGAAACATCTCACTGTTCTGCTCATGTAAGGCAAACATGCTGTTCCGCTTTTATTTCTTTCAGAAAAGCTGCAGCAGATGTCAAGTAAAGCCGCAACAGCAAAAGAGACACGACATATTTCCACATCATCAGAAGGCGAGAGAACCACTGAAAAAGGTGAGTTAATGTCTGTGTGCATTTACACTTAGCGTCTGCATTGGTAACATCTCTCATTTTGCTTTTATGTCTCTTCATACATTAATCTGCTCTTAAGCTTCTCGATGAAATAAAGGTCTTCAGCTAAGACCAGAAAGGCTTTTTAGTGGCACGAAATCAGTTGAGCTTGTCAACAAGTGAACTATTTTAAAGTTAACAAGTAGAAGCCTGCTCACTGGTGCTTTCAGTCACACTTCGTCTAGCAGACAGCTCTTTGAAATGTTTTATCCAGCGTCTTTGTCACCATATTATGGGAAGAATAAAGGCAAAGTCAGGTGGTAAACATTGGATGTAGAGGCAGCAGGTACAGGTTTCATCAGGTCCCTTCTAGTGAGAAGGATATTCATACCTTCTCTTAATACTCTTATTGTATTTGTTGGTGTGTAGGTGTTAAAAAAAAAACCTTACTCATCTCGTAAAGGAAAATCTCTTTAGAAGGCTTGATCATTGAGCAGCGGCAGAAACAAATGTCGGTTGGTGCAGAATAAATATCAGATCATTTATGCTCAGACTGAAAAAAAACAACATTCATTGCAAAATCAAACTATTTTCTTTTTAATGTGCTCAACAGGACAATACCATCTTTGCATCAAGACTAAAAAAAAAACCTTCAACCACATCTAAATGTTCCACCAATAGCTTTGTTTGGAGATTAGTAAAAAATCAGTTAAGGTTTAAAGACTTTTTTCTTCTATTTTCTGTTTAATTCAAAACTCCTGCCCTAAAATAATCTTTTTTTCATTCATCTGTCAGATGAAAACAAACTTTGTCCAAATCACTTTGTTCTAGTCCTCAGAAGGAATAATAGATTTGTTCCAGTTTAGTAATTGAAATACATTAATAGAAATGGGTTTTCATTTTCAAAATAAAGCTGCATTTTTTTCCACTTTTAAATAAAATGAAAAATAGATTATCCAGTGGATTTGCATTATGTTCTCCAAGACGTCTAAATTTGTTAATTAACTGAAATGATAATTAAAATAAAATTTAATTTAGAAAATGTGTACCAGTAAAGGAAGAATATAAAAAAATCTGAAATTAAAATATACTAACAGTAATTCTTTTATTTTAAATTCAGAATTGCATATTTTTTACTCATTAATGAAATTACTAATAGATCATCCAAACGTCTGTAGAAAAATGGCACACATATTCTTTGATAAGCATGTCCTCAATTCAATTCAGTTTATTTCTATAGTGCCAATTCACAACACATTTAATCTCAAGGCACTTTCCAGTTCACCAGATCATCCAGTCAGATTGATTCAAAGTTTTCTATCTAAGGAAAACCAGTTGATTACATCGACTCATTGACACGAATGCAATCCCTCACACTAAGGATACTTAAAACGACAGTGCAGAGGAAAAACTCCCTTTGAACAGGAAGAAACCTCCAGCAGAACCAGGCTCAGTGTGAGCGGCCATCTGCTGAGGCCCACTGGGGTTCAAGGAGACAGAAGCAGAGATACCGAAAGAAACAGTGATACAAAAGGCAACTGTCAACCAGCTCCACAGGCGGCCCCGTCCAGGAAACACACAGCCAGGCAGACAAGCTCTGAGCCAGCTCCCATGTCAGAGGATGAAGAGAGCACATCCAGTTAGTCACAGTCAGAGAAACAGGACTACACTGGAAAACAGGCCAATCTCGAACATCTATAAACAAAGGTGTTTATACGTTATATTTCTGTACATAATGTTAAAGATTTAACAAACAGATTCTGCAGAGCGGGAGAATAGAGATAGACTGATGAAATATGGTTATGTCCTCCAGCAGTCTAAGCCTATAGCAGCATAACTATAGAGATATCTCAGGATACCTCATGCTCTGTATGTCTATGGCAATGGTTAAAAGCATCATAAAATGTTGAGGCTGCTCCTGCACTTGCTTTATTTTTAGAGTTGACAAAATTTGGTAAACTTTTTTTATTTAATTTTTTTTCATTACTGTTTCAAAGATCCCATTTTGTAAATGGAAATAAAAGTAGACAATCCAGAAATTACTTTTTGAGAAACTTATTAAAAAAGGCTGAGAGTAATTCTGCTGTTATTGTTTTTTATATTTTTTTCTTCACATTTCATTTTTCAACTTTCTGTTTTTCGGATTGAGATTTATAAGTTGCATTTCTTTCAAATTGTGTTTTGCACTTAATATTATTTTCGCTTTAAGCCTTATACTAATGCTCACTCTTAACCAATGAAAGTGTTTTTGTTGGCGTCCATTCAGACCAATAGAAATGTGTCTTCTCTCCTCACTCCAGAGGAAAGTGGTCAGTGAAGAGAAGAGAATGTGATCTGTAAAATGCAATTGGAAAATAAATGCAATTTATGAAATTAATGTGCAAAAGAGAAATTTGGAAAAGAACAAAATGTACAAAAAAAACTAAATCTCTAAAAAAATATTTAAAAGAATAAAATAAAATAAAACTGGAAATAATTCTAATTAAAAAAAAAACTTGAGAAAATCTGTTAAAAATGAAACTTGAGAAAATGGCAAAGTTTTTGTTGATTAAGAGGTTTTTTTAAGTCTCTTGCTTTGATAGGAATTTTTTTTTTTTCAAATTTCTATTCACAAAATGTGTAATTTTTCATTTCTATCTTTAAGTGTTCTTTTCCTGCAACAATAATTAAGCAAAGTATGATAAGACTTGATAAATAACAAAGTGGCTCAGTTTAAAACCAAAGGGTCATAGAAGACCTACGAGACATTATAGTGCTATAAAACCTTTCCCTTATTTTATGTCTGTTTTGAAAAATAATTCATAAATGAACTGAAAACAAGTATTTTTCCCAAGTGAGCCTAAACATGAGATGGGTTCCTGTGCAACAGTGTGCTTTTAAAGAAAAGGGAATAAACCACAATGTGAATAGCAGATTGCTGTTATCAAGGACCAGATTTTAGATTCCTAACTTGGAACGGCGGCACAATATTCCTCTAAATAAACAGGCGATAAAGCTGCAGAGTCCATGACTGTGACAGCGTGCATGAGGGCACTTGCTCACAAACAGGACAGTACAAGTGAGTCTTTGTATTCACAGCTTGTCTAAGCAGATAGATTCTTCCCCCTGAGTAAATATGGTGAGGCACTGATAACATTCATTTGTGTACAACAAGAACACATTCACACACCAAAGTACATGTACGGTAAGCCCACAGAGCCATGTCACTGGGGGTTAGTCTCTAGTGGAATCAACACTCATTTTCTAAAAAATAACTTTCCCTGCTGGATTGTCCCTGTTGTCATCTAGCCTAAATGTGTGATAAATGAGACTGCCTTAATTTCGCAGTTAAATTTCCTACAGTTTACATCCATAGAACCCCACATATCATAAGCAGCATTTTAAGGGTGAAATAAATAAATAAATGAAGTTATGATTTAACATGTTTCCCAATGCAGTCCCAGGGAAAATGAGTTTGTTGGGTCGAGTGATGCGCGTGGCCCAGCGGTACCTGTTCAGCCCGTCGGGCCACCAGAAGGTTGAGGAGAAGTGTTCACAAACGCAGGCCGAACACAGACACCGAAGTCCTGGACGTGTTTTCCATCGTCGGACTTCAGGTTCATTAACGCAAGCTCAGGTAATATTATTATCCATGCTTCTCGTTTATTTGTTCTTTAACCACTTAGTCGGGACATTACTGCAGCTGATTGGCTTAACTTGCCATAAAAAAAAAGCATCAGACTGTTTGCTTGATGTATATTTTCACAATTACTGTAAGGGAAAATATATTACCTCTAATGCTGCTTTCATACTGAACGTGATTTTAGCAGTAAAGAACTGTCTGCTGCTTCATCTTTGAAGCAGCAATGTTACTGGAGTTGCACAGCAGAAAGTGCTTCATAAAGAGTCTGATCCGCATTGGGAGGAGCTAACATCTTCTCGTCCCTGCAATCTGGAACAATGGCAGAGGAAATTGAGTTACTTGTCTTAATTTACTAAATAAAACTAGTGAATACCATTTAAGGGGGCCTCGGAACTGTGTCTGGATTCACAGTTTTTTGTTTTGTTTTGTTTTTTCTTTCATAAATAGGGGTAGATATAACCAGTGTTGTGCCTGAACGCGTTCATTGAACGAAAGTTCATGAACTCGTTCATATTTTGGGCGAACGTGAACTGAACGTACTGCATTACTGCCTGATGAACGTTATTGTGAACTCGTTCATTCTGGTGTCTGTGAACGGCACGCTCTCTCAGTTCAGCTCCGTTTAATAGGTTGCCAGATTTCTATAGAGTCCTCCAGGCGAAACCCCTCTAAATCACACCGTAAACAGGCCTTAATATGTAGCGGGAAAAACACCCAATCTGGCAACACCAGCTACCAGTGTCGTGCTACAGCCGCGTGCGTCACCAAAACAAAATGCAGCGTGGAAGCCACAGCAGCATGGAGGCGACCGTGGAGGCGACAAAGCAGCAGTATGATCACTTAAAACAGGTTTATGACCAGGTGGTCGGTGAGGATGATGGCAACAATCTTACATTTCTCTGCAAACTTTGCCCACCGGCTTTCAGTAAAAAAATCCACACTTCAGTAACATCCAAAGCAAATCTGAAACAGCATATGTACTGAAATGGGATTTCAAATGGAAAAAAATATTAAAATTAAAAAAACATTTGCACCTTAAAGACTACTTTCCTGTTTTTCTTTTAATAATTCCTCATAAAAAAGACCATTCAAGCAGCACATTTTTCCTGATGTTTTTGAGAATATACTGTAGGAGTGAAAGCTGCAGCTGCTACTAGTGTGAAGTGAATGGACAGCAACAAAGCGTTAAAGCAACAATGGGGAAATGCTGTCCCCTCAATGCTAATGTAAACCCTGGTTGGATGAGGATTCAAAACTGGATATGAAGATGAAATCTGACGCACAGTTTCAGAGTTACAACTGATAAAATAATTGCTGTCTGTGGTTCTACAGTAGAACCATGAAAAAAAAAAACTATGAAACTATGAAAGAACTATGAACTAGTTCATTTTTTGGAACTGTGAACTTAGTTCAAAATTTTGAATTATGAACTATGAACTGAACTAGTTCATTTTAAAATGTGTGAACTGAACTTTGAACTAGCTGACGTAGAAAGAGAACTTTCCCAACACTGGATATAAGTTTTACTTCCTTCTGCTCCCTTTCATTCACAATTTTCGATGTTACATGAATTATTTATGTTTTAGTGAATGAAATGAATAAAGTAAACCACCAAATTCAGTGTCGTCCAGTTTTTGCAGATTTGAGCTGCATGCTGATGAGGGTCGCTTCCAGAGGTTTTTTCATCTGACCTGAACCCAGTTTGACAACCTGCTACCCTGGATTAATGCCTGCAGAACACAAACAAATAGGCTGTGTCCGAACGTCAGCTCTAATCAATATATAGGGCACTATATAGTGTATATAGTATACTATATAGTTACGCCATTTGAAATTAGTGTCCCAACGACTGGTGGATGAAAAAGGAGTGGACTCAAAAAAGTGGTATTCATCAATGATCACTAGACGAGCTGATATATCTCAGAATACTTTGTGAGGAGAGCTCTCCTTGCAAAGTGCTAGTAGTATGGGATTTGTCATAGTGACAGTGTGGCAGGGTTCTATTAGGACTTGGTCAAACATCAATGACTTGAATGTCAGAGTCCATCACCTTCAGTGCGACTTCTCAGGATTCCAGCCACAGACTGCCTCCCTGTGTAACAGAGCCGTTTTTAAAGCTACAGGCTCCGCCCACAGAAGGCAAAAATAAAACAAAATAAGCAGTTAGTTCTAACTCAATTAACTCTTTATGTATACAAAATAATAATAATAGAAAATAACAAAAGCAATACTAATGACCAAAGAAAAGTAAACTTGTAATCAAAAATACAATACTCAATTTAATAGAAACCACACAGTACGTTCTGATGACTATTTGTAGTTGAAAATAAAAGGTTAGAGTACATGTTAACTGAAGCCGGAACATTGCGTGTGCACCCACGATGAACCGCACCAGCCCAAGCTGCCACAAAAATTAAGCTAGCAATTATTTATGTGTTTGTGTATGTGTGCATGCTGACACGGACTAATATCTAACTCCCGGCTGATGACGGCTCCTCCGTCACCGACAACTAATAACAAATATGACGCAGGCCCTGTGCAGGGAGGCGGAGTTACGTGACCAACGGGGAGCAAGAAGTAGTGATCATCTGTCCAAATGGTCAGTTTACTAAGTTCAGTATAAAGTCCACTATGCAGTACCTGCTCTATATAGTGATTGAGGGATCTAGGGGTTAGGGTGGACATTCGGACACAGACATAGTCTAACAGAGCCTCTCTGTGATTGCTTGATGTGGCTCATCGAGCAGCAAAATGTCAGACTTTACCAGACTTTCTCGTGAAGCGCCTTAAATGCACGCAGCACACCTCAGATGCTTAAATGCTCACGAGGCGCTGCTCCAGCTGCTAAAGATGCTTCAAGATCCGCTGCTGCTGCTCGAAATACACTGCAGGAACGTTTGATGCACGTTGTTGCACTTCAGCCATAGTTTTTGCATATAAAATGTTTGCTACTGCTTCTCAAAGTGCGTTCGGTGTGAACGCAGCATAAGGCATGATTATTATATTTTTATTAAGCAGTAGGACAGAGTCTTACGGCGGCTGTTACTCAAACTGGAAAGCTTCTCAGACATTATTAAAGTGTTTATTCTTAACAGTGTTATTTATTTATTTTTTGCTCTGAAATTGAGCTTAATCCTCAGAGGAGGAGTTTAAATGCCTCAAGCAAAGCACGGCGTATCAGCCAACTGCTCCGTTTAGATGGGAATGCCTGAGCTTAAGCCACAACAGGCAGGAGTGAGTAAATCACCCAGAGTTAGCATGTGATTTTAATTATTTTGACACAACAGGGCTAATCCTTATTATGATTGAGCTGATCTTTCCTAATATTAGGAAACAAGGGGCTTATGGCTATAAAACTATAAAGTGTTCAAGGATACTTAATCCTTAAAATGAGTCATAATAAAAAAAAAAATAACTTATTATAGAATAAATGGGCCATCTGGCCATATTGGAACCTAATCTTGTTTCTTTAATTAATCCATTTATTGGAAACAGTCAGATAAGGTCAGGGATAGAGTATGTGTGCATTATGAAATCCCTCCAATTACTGAATCATTCTCTGAAAGTTGCTCCTTTCAAGGTCTTTTTAAGTTCAACTCACTGAAACCAGACTCCACTTGCTGCTCAAAGGATTATCAGTGTAATGTTTTATATAATTGTTACAAACTGTAGCTGTGACTGACCTTTTAGGATTTCATGCCAGTCTTAAACCAGACTATACATGCATTTAGAATGAACAAATCTGTCTTTAGACTGGATGAATTCCGAATGTACAAATTGGTAAAGGCTGCTGCAGATAGAGAGATAATCTCGCCGATTTATGACCCATTCTGCCTCCATTCTCGGGCTTCATAAACAGGGAGATATATTTCCCTTGTGTGGTTTGTAAAGAGTAATTGGGTCCTCTTAGTCCAATGTCAGTACTTCTCCGGTGACAAATCGGGAAATCCATATTTTTTGGATTATCTGGCCTAGAACTGAGAACCAACCCATTTTAAAGGCAGTTATCCCCATTTAAAACTCTGGCTGGCCCAGGCAGTAAAGGAGCGCGACCCAACTCGTTGTCAAAGCGTAGACACCAGACACTCATTTCTATATGCTTTCAGTCTAAAGGAATTTGTATTTTCTCTACCTTTTAAGCAAGATACATTGTCGTGAGATTTGTAAATTAAAAAACTCCAGAAAACACATCTTGCCAGAAACCAACAGGTGCGTTGGGATCAATACAGAAATGTTTCAGACCAACGAAATGCAGTGTATGACGTCAATGCATCAACCGAAAGAGGAAGGCTGAAACAAAGTAAACATGGCTGCACTGGTTTAATCTGGAATAGCCTCTATTTCTTTGAAAAACAACCAAAAGGATACAATCTTTACCTTTGTGGATGGGGAGATGTTTGAATGTTCCCTCAACCGGATTTGTAACAGCTTAATTTATCAGTTAACTCCACTAGTTGTTAAAGAAATCAAGCTGCTACTTAGGGCTGCAACTAAAGATTATTTTGCAAATCGATTAATCGATTAATAATCAGATAGCCAAAGGTTCCTTAAAACAGACTTTTTGCTATATTAAACCAGGTGAATTTAAAACTTTTCCACTTGTGGAGTTCTTGATAGAGCATATTAACAGATGGAAATGATTTTCCTCTTATATGCAAAATGTTGATATATTTTCTTTTACAATTTTTGTATAATTGCTGCTCTAAGTGGGTTGCCCTGTCAGCTAAAGGTATGTTTTAAAGTCTCTATTCTCCAGTTAACAATTAATCGATTACTAAATTAGTTGAAAATTATTTCAGTAATTGATTAATCACGATTAATCCCATTAATTGTTTCAGCCCTACTGCTACTGCTGATTTTATTGGCAAAAAACACATCAGAAGATGGTACCCAGACATTCAGTTCAAAGGATTGAACTGAATGTCCCTCCCTTTTGCAAAAACTTTCTACATGCAGCCTCCCAGATCTATAAGAGTAGTTTAATTTGATTTCTACATGATATCAATCAATGCCAGGTACATTTTTTGTAGCTTTAGGTATCCATTCCCTTAATTATAAAGTTTCATTCTCAATGGGTAGCAGAAAATTTACGACTCAGTGCAGGACTAAAATCAGCACTCAAACCTTTTAACTGGTAAAACCTGGGATTCATGTACGTGAAAGTCGTAGGGAAGTCATTTAAATGTCAAATTTCACATTTTCCTGTTTGGCCCTATATACAGTAGCAGGCATTCAAAATTGCCCAGGACCAGGAGAAGGCGCTTCTCTTTAGGTCTTGATTTCCACAAACCATGACAGAAAGAATATTTTAGTACAAAGATTGATGTTTAAAAAGGAATTGTAGGGGACCAGCCAAGGGCCCATCAAGGAAAGTGGGGAAATCTTGTATGGCTACTACTGTACAGGACAGCAATCCTCCCATCAATTTTACCAGCTTCTGCATTCTCGCAGCAAGATGCTGTCTTTCTTTCTTCCCAATGGGAAAGTTGTTTCTATAGAGATGTGCAGGATTAGCTTTGCTCCAAACCTGTTTTATTCTCCTGTGAGTTTAGGTGGAAGTTACATTTTAACATGTGGGCCTTTTTCTTTTTAGATGATGGATTGAACTGTGCTGTGAGATATTCAAAGCCTTAGATTCTCTTTTATAACCTAACCTGCTTTAAGCTTTTCCACTTTCCTGTTTCTCCATCTTCACCATGCTGTCTATTCATGAATATCTCTTAACCGAACTCAGAAATGTCTCACGTTTTTTTTCTTTTTATTCCACAGCAATGTAATTTCATCTCCCTCACAGAAAGTCATAAATATATATTGTCAGATCATTTTTAAAGTAAATTGTGTTTATTTTTGACAAGAGAAAAAAAAACTCCTCAGGAAACTTAGTTACAAGAAACCCATTTGACTTTGAGGAAAAAACGCCTCTCCGCTGGAATGGAATAGACGATAATCTCTTCTCTGACATACAAGGACTTATTCCAGATTTTCTAATCAATTTTTTGCTTTTTTTCATTTTCTAGGCAAGAATGAAAAGGCAAAGCAAGCAGAGAGGTAGTGGCCACCAAGCTGAAGGACAAGGGGGCAGCGGTGGCATGTCCTCACCTCCTGCTACTGGGAAAAAACCTGCTGGTAGTGAGAAAACTGAAAGGTTAGAACAAACTATATCAAGCATGAAAAAATACAAACAAACCTGCTGTAATCCATTTCCAAAAAGATCCCATAAAACATCCTTTTAATTATCTTTGGGTTCAGCCGCTGCATATTCTTATTAATACGAGCAGATTCCTGTTTTTTTTTTCTACGAGTGTCGATATCTACTGTAAAAAAATATGGACTCAGCAAGAGTCATCAAGCAGCTGAAACCTAAACTAAACCTTTCTGAGGTGCATTGTCATTATTTTTTTTTATGATACAATAAATCATGTTCTTAACATTTTATGATCCCTTTCCCAGCTCCAGCAGTAATTTATATAGGACTGTCTCACCTTTCACGATAACCTTTCTTTTTTCTGCTTGAAGAAGCTCAGTCCCAGATTCTGGCAATGTGGGATGTTTCCCTGCAGCTATCTGGCCTGTAAATCATATTTTCTCTGAAGTCTCAACTAAGATTCAATCTGAGTTAAGGGGTATCATTTGATTTTAACAGCAGTTTGCTCATCTTTAAAGTTGAACTGAAAGGCATCACAAAGGCCTTTCCTTATTTGGGTTAATAGTTTTTTTTTTCTTTATTAATAAAAAAGGAATCCTACTTGGAATTTAAATGTGCTTAAAATATAAGAACAGACTTTGAACAAACCAGTTATTAAAATCTGTTGTTTTAGGCTCCTTTTTTATTTTAACATTTTTCTGAGTCCTTCTTAATGAATCTCACTTTTTTTTGCAAATCAGGCTGATTGTACAAGTAGATGCATTTGAACCAATGTTGAAATGCTCATGAACACCATATTTATGTCTGCATGAAACTCTTCCAGTAATGTTAAATATTTCTACTATGCAAGGAAGTCTTCCTGTCTCGTTTCTTTGCGATAATTCGGCTCCTTTTCCAGCAGCATTCGGAATTTCTCAATAGTCCTCTAATCCTCTCATTGTAATGTTGTTTCCTTTGTCCTATCATCACACGGCTCATGCTAGAAACCATCAGGCCCTTGCTGGTCGTTGGTCTGTTTAACTGTCTGCGCCCGCTCTGTCCTATGCACGTGTTTGCACCCATGTTTCAAGCATACTTGTAATTCCTTGCAGCTTTGCTCTTTGTGTCAAGTGGATCAGGTTATTTGAAGCATGCAGTGGGTCATCAGAGGTCACAACAGGGATTATTGTAATTGTGTAGCAAATTAGCTTTAGACCAGAGAAAAGAAACAGACAATCTCCTGTGTATCTTGCTTCAGTGTTTGGAAGGATGATGGGGACTTAGACCGTACGCTGGGAGGGTTTCTAAAATGTTGGTTGATGGAAAAGCTTTGGGTGCTTTGCACTCAAAAAAACTCTAAATAAAAAAATTAAAAATTATGTTTATCACTATGGTTTTCTCTCTGCTTTCGTTATGTGAAAAAAGAACAGTAGTATTTTAAAGGCATAGTGGAGGATGTTCTTTTTACGGGTGGATCATCTAAATAATCTAATTAGCAATCATTCTGGGGATGTGTTTACGTAAGGCCGTCCTACGTGCTTGTCCCCATTTTCACTTACCGGTGGTGAGGCTGACAGTGGAAAAATTGCAAATCTTCTTTTGGACAGTAAGCCTGTATGAGTGATGCAAACAGGAACTTGTAAACAGAGCGTGCACGAAGAGAAAGGGGCTTGTGCACGCTAGGGCTGGGCGATATGGAAAAAAAACTATATCACGATATGGATTATTTTATATCACGATAACGATATATATCACGATATACCACAACTGATGTTGCATTTTATGTTTTCATAGTCCGTCAGATGGACAGGGTTGAAAAAAATCTTTCATCGCCTATTTTTTACCCATCATCTTGTTTCCTAATATGAGAATCCCAACCCCAACCAAGAACACCAGTTATGCAATTTGCGGCCATGACAGTGAACAGTATAGAATCTTGGCTATTGCGCTGCAGTAATTAATCATTTAATATTTGTTTGTTATTGACATTTTATAAAATTCCAAGGCCAGGTTTTTCTCTTGTCTTTCACTTACCTTGTTTTCCACTAGGAGGGTCCAGTCCTTGATGAAATGGATGGTGAGACTCATATAAGGCTGTGTTGCTCTACTCATCCACATGTCTGTAGTCAACGCATAATGCGTCGCACCACTGCGTACCTCTCTCTCCACTTCAGCCCGACAACTAGCATATAAGCCAGGCAGCTCCACTTTACTGAAATGTTTTCGACTAGGCATCACATATCTGGGATCGAGTGTACGGACGAGGTCCCGAAAGCTGTCTTTCTCGACTATGTAAACGGGGGCCATGCCTTTACAGATATAGCTTGAAATAGCACCTGTGATCTGCTTGTGTCGCTGAGACGTCTTCTCATATTGTGATCCTTGGGCGAATGCTTCCTTAAGCTTCGGCTGTGAGAATTTCTTTCCAGTGCTTCCTGTATTTTCATCCCTTGTTTGTTTTGATCGGAGTGGTTGTAGTTTCCCGTGTTCTTGTTCATGATTTTTCTTCAGGTGGTAAAAGAGGCCGGAAGTATTTGCATCAGCCGCTGGAACGGCTTTGCTGCACAGTTTACATATCGGCTGCGTTTGTTCTTTATCAGATGGCTGAAATCCGAAATATAACCAAACAACCGAGCTGCCTCCCCTTTTGGGCAAAAGTGGTGTTTGTTGTGTCTGTGACCTGGCAACCGTTTCGGACTCTGTAACCGCTGCTGTGGTAACATCTTCTTGGGTGTCCATCATTCATTTTTTTTTCAAGCCAGAAAGAAATTTCGCGGGCTCTCTCCGTCAGTAATGTCGCAAACGTATGGTGCAAAGCCGCGTGACGTAAAGCGGTGTAGTGTCGCAAAACCACGTTCTCTACACATTATCTTTTTATTCTCTTTTTTTTTCGTTATATACACTTAGAGTTTGCATAGCAAAAACGCAAAATGTTATATTAACAAATTATATTAAAATGTATATTAGCAGTAATAATAAAAAAGTTTATCACGATAGAAAAAATAGAGGAGAAAGGTCACGATAGACATGTTTCTCTCGTCCTCACGATATATATCGCCATATCGCCCAGCTCTAGTGCACGCTCTCGCATACGTTTAATAGACGTTCCCTCTCAGGAGCGGTTACAGGGTTGTGCATGTGCATTTCTTTTTAAGTGGAGAGTGCGGGTCTTTTCAGAAATTCACACACAAAACACAAAAGTCTTAAAATATACTACTGTGGAAGTGAGAGAATATTTGTTTAATTTGTTTATCAGAAAGACTGTGGGGCAGGAAGCAAATTCAACCAGTAGGTCAGATTTATTTTAGGACTTTTATGTTTGCATTTTAACAAATTTTAAGCCACCATTTATGCAAACAAGACCAACAGGAGAAATTCATTATAGGAGTTAGGATGCGGTCACTGAGTTGGTCAAAAAACTCCATGGCAGCAAAGGCTTTGAGGATGGATGAGAGCCGTCCTGAGTTTAGAGCTCTGAATGTTGTTGGGCTGTCATAGCTGACATGCCTCTTCAACATCCGTGTTTTTTTATTGTTTTTTTTCTTTTGATTCTGCATTTTTCTAAAGCACTTTGTGACCCCAATGTCTGTGAAAAGGTGTTATATAAATAAACCTGTACTTATTTTAGTCATGCAGGGTAGGACAACAAAAACTGACTGAGACTGGTTGAGCTGATGAAAACTCTTGTTTTCTTCTAGTTATTTCTACTTTTTCTGTTTTTGATGTTTCTCTTGCCTCTCACTGAACAAAGAGTACAGGTGGTCCTCCACTGCAACAGACTGTGCAAGATTGTTCTTGTTTTAAACTCCTCAGTACAGACAACACATTTTCAGCTAAATTTAAAAGGTGGACGGCTGACAGCTTTTTCCTCTTTCCTATTCTACCCAGATCAGAAATGATGATGTAAAATTTGGTCTAACACTCTCCATTCCAGGCTTGTTATAAGTTGGTCCTCGAGGCCCAAAATCCTGCAGGTCTCCAATGTTTCTCAGCTTCAGTACATCTGAAACCAGCTTTACTGAAGCAGGAAACCTCTTAAACCTCCAGGACCGACTTTGGACCTGGCTTCCTTATCTATTTGTAAACTACTGATTCTAACCTATTTGAACATTTTCCCTTTTGATTTGATGTTATTAGACTTTCACTAAAGGTATTTTTATTAAAGTTATAGTTGACTTTTACTAATAAAAAGCTGTTCCACATTATTACATTAATTATCCAGTATTCGATGCGTTTCTCCTGCCTGGTGTCTTTCTGTTGGTGAGCAAATATTGGGAAGTTATGTAAACAATCTTCTCTGTGCTTCTGTTTAAAGATGTGAACCAACCATTAAGAGATCGGGTACAGGGTCTGCTGGGAAGATGACTCATCGCCGTAGCAACCGCAGCATTGTTCATCACGCCAGAGTGAAGTCCCATCACGTTTTTCGAAACGGGAAAACTTCCCCTGTCCAGAATCCTTCCACCACCCTGGTTCCCCGTGCATCCCGCCGCTCCTCCACCCTGCCTCGAGCTTTCTCCCCCTCTAATCCAAGTCTCCAATCCACCGGTGCCTCTCAGAGTGGAGAACCTCAGGAAACGCCCAATACGGCTCTCATCAGGTAAGATCATCACATGATTTGACACAGATGGGAACTCTTTATGTTATTTATTTAAATGTTGTTTCAGGTATGAAAATAAAAACTAAGTATAAGAAGAAAAGTAGCAGCTGCATAATAAACAAACCAAGTGCCCTTAGATTTCACCCCATCCCAATGTTTTATTCTATTATAATGGACACCATATAATGAACACCAAACATTTTGTTCCAAAGACCTAAAAACTAATTTTATTCCCCAACTCTGGGAAACAATGTAGGAGCTGACCTTGCAAATCTAACCTTACCTCAGTGGGAGACAAGTTATTTACCCTATGAATAATGAATGCAGAGTAAATTACTGCATTCTGCTATGATCACAGACCATATGCTACAGACCGGAACCTTGTTTATAATTTCCTCAGACCATACAGAAAAATATATCTTCTACTGAAATATATGTTTGAAGAAGCTTCTTAAAAGCTAGGATTTTTTGACGCGTCACAAAATCATTGTTTAATCAAAATGCCAGTATTGCCTGGTTTAACTCTTAATATTATTGATTTGCCAAACTGCTCCAGCTTACAAGAGGAGGAAACCAAATGGGCAATAAAAAGATCAAACCTTCCAAATGAAACCCTTTTTATTGACGGATGACGGATGTAATAGAAAGCTGTGGTCAGAGTTAAAGTCTTTCTGGTAAGAAGAACAAACCACATCACAGCTATTAGGTTTCACACAATCAACTGAGCAGCTGCTAACAGGGGCGTTGGTCCCTTTACCAGACTGACATATTCTGTTGCTAGGTGTTTATATGACTTTTTCTAGACTCCAAAATACTCGATGTATTTAACTTTTCTCTCCTATCAGAACTGTATGTGTAAAAACTGTATGGAGCGATTTCTCTTGCATTATGGTTGTAAGGCAACCTGTTTAAAAATGGAAATTTGAAAAAGTAAAATGCATCCAGACTTAAACTTCTTTATCAAAGAATGGTTTTGATGGTAGCCTGACTCTTTCTCAGATTTTAAATCATCCTTTTATATATATATATATATATATATATATATATATATATATATATATATATATATATATCTCAGAGCACAGCAAGGTTTTTGATCAACACGTTTTTTGTAGAGCTCAATTTTTTATTCAGACTTTTATTTTTTTTTTTTCTATTTACGAAAGATGTTCTCAGCCTCAGACAATAATGGAACAAAATCCACCCCATAGAACCAAAACTTTAATGTCTTTAAAAAATCAAAAGAAAAAGGGTCCAAATTAAAGGTTTTTCAAATTCCTAACTTGTATATTATTGCAAATTGTTAGTGCCATAGTTTCATATAGCATAACTGAGCATTCCCAATCATGGAATTATTATATAGATATTGTTTAAGGAGTCACTCATAGCCAGGCCACCAAAGCTTTACCTATAAAGCTCTTTAAAGCAGCTGCTACTTACCAAAGTGCTCAACAAAAGGGATAAATCAATTAAAAAAGCGAGACAGATGCATTAAATCTGTTGAATACCTTCTTGGCAGAAATGTTCTGTCATGGCCCATTCCAAAGAATGCGTGGCTAAACCTGTTTGTAAAGACAGAGGATGTACAGTAAGAGCCAGAAGCAAATTGCTGTGCTTGTAGATTTTCAAATATGAAATAAATTTGTGAGTGACAGACTGCGTAAAGGGAAAAAGCGGTTTTACATCAGACTGGGGCGTGAACAGCTTAGCACTAAAAATAACTAGTATTTTCCTGTTTATTAGTTCCCCGCCTTGTGAACATTGCGTTCCGTCAAATAATTTTCCAGGAAGTAAACAACACTGCATGACCAGATCCAACAGGCAAAATGTTTTTAACTTTCAAATGATTCATGATGCAAGCAACTTCAGCTGGTAGATCATTTCCATTCCTGGGAATTTCTTTATGAGGGATTATGATTACAGATTATAATAATTATATAATAATTAGAGGCTAAATCCATAACTAATGTGAAGTCAATGAACTCTGTGCAACGGAGTGATTAGTATATTTAAGAAAGAAGGCATAGTAGAGCTCCAGTCATTTCATCTTACAAAATAAAGTAAAAAGTGTTCTGCTTTTAAAAGTGCTTTATGAATAAATCAGTTTTCTAGAAAAGGAACTTTGTCTCTCAAAGTGTTGTCCAGCTGCTTTCATATTTTGACTTTCATCATTGATACGTAAGCAGTTATGAGGCCTGGATGGGAGAGTCAGCGGTTTACTTTTGACACCCTCCATATTTAAAGCTCATTTTTGGGGCTTAGTCGCTGAAATGGAGTTCAAACTGAGAGTGAAAAGTTAAAAAAATCAGTAGTTTCGTGTCTTTTTGTTTGCCTGGCATTTCACCCGAAATTCGCCTGGTGAGTGAAAGCAATCAGCACAGCGGGTGAATCCGTCCAGCAGGCGACAGGCTCCATCATCTAAATCAGCTGGTTGTCAGTTTCCCCTCAACATGGCGGACTTTAGCTTTGCAACGATAGTTGCGGTGCTTTATTTACTTTGGAAAGCAGGACAAAGCCGTTGGCATCAATTGGTCCATCAGAGCCTTCAGAGATTCTCCCATTTCGGGGAGTCCAGGAGCTCTGACTGGATCAGAGCTGCTTTTGGTGGAGCTGAAGGTTAGACGGCGTATCTGGAGCTCAGTCTGAAGCAGCAGGGCAATCAGAGCAAGAACCCTGGCAGAGACCGGACTGAGGCTGGCTGCCATGTCCCCTGGAGGAAAGGGTCCACTGCAGGAGATCGGAGAGGTCCATTGCGCAGAGAGAGACAGAACAGGGGAGAGGCGGCGTTTGGCCGGGGGCTGGTTTTGCTGGTTTAAGGTTGAGTTATGCTTGACGCATGTACAATCCGTCCAAAAATGAGCTGCCTGTCACAGCGACTGCAGCTTCTATACCCCATGTACCTTTCTCTGATTCTCGGAGCACAAACGTCAAGCTCACAACACCACACTTCACAAGGAAGTAGAGAGCAACGCAGTTTACATCTTTTTCTCTCCAAGTCTCTCCATGCCATTGATGAGCGACGGCCTTTTTTTTCCAGTTTTTTCAGTGTTTTGATTGTGGTGATGTTCGGCAGCTAAATCAGAGAAGGTCTCTACCCTCACCGGTAGGAGCTGTTGCTTGGTCGCCATGTTTTTCTGCAGCTTATCTGTATAGTTACAGATTTCCCAGAAGTGGACAGCAGTAGGTCGGACTGTAAGGGGGAAGAGAGGGGGATGAGGCTGGCCTGTGTTTATGCTAAAGGAGGACAACGAATTATGAATCATTTAGCAGTCCCTCGCTCACTTCCCTGTATTCACCAAAAAGGTGCCTTTAGCCTTGCAAGAATCATGACCTCTGCCTCACAGCACTTCTGAGCCGCAGTCTACTTAGGGATAACATGCAAATCGTTCAATCTTAGGTACTGTTGCACTGATACCGATACCAGTATCGGACAGGGCCCCGATACTGCCCTAAAATGGTGGTATCGTATCGGCGAGTACCAACCAATGGGGCACTGATACCATTTTGAGAGCCAAAAGTTTCTTCGACTATTGTCACCCATTCCATATGGGCAATAAAAAGTTCTACTGGATTCACTTTGTTTTAGATTTTTTCCTGCTCCACAAAGGTAGGCAGCAGCTTGACATGAAAGCAATTATTTTACATTATTATGGTATCGGCCGATACTGCACAGCCAGGTATCGGGTATCGGTATCGGGGCCAAAAAATGGCATCGGCGCAACACTAATCTTAGGTAGGATCGCTGATTAAGAGAGCAACTTTTTGTCAGGAAATAAAGATTTCTTATTGGGCTGAATAATTATTTTCTTTGGCAGGTTTTTGATTTTGGTCATGGAAAAGGGACAACTAACAAGATTTAGAAGAACTGTGAGAGCACAGAACCTGAATAACTGTTTCATGCTGACCATGGCTTCAGAGTTGCTGCTTTTTAAGGTGGAACTTTGGTCTATTTTAGGTTTTCTGACTGGAAATAAAACACCTGGATCGTATAGTATAAGCTAAATGACACTGAAGTAAACAAGTATTCTTAAAAAAATAAAAAAATAAAACATTTACAAAATAAATTTCAACTTGTAATGTTTTTTTTAGCTTCAAGACCACCTAAAAAAAGAATTGTATTTAAAAACAAAGTATACCTGACCAAATTGGTCAGGACTCAGACTAGGACTGCCTCCCTCTGTCTTACTGAAAAAATTAAAAAAATAAAAATTTAAAAATTTAAAACTTAAACAAAGATTGCTGACAAGTAAGATGAAGAAAATCCCACCAGTCCAAAAAGCTTTGCCTTCTTCCACGAACCTCCACCCTGAGAGTTCACGGAAAATGACTCGTTCTACCATGACGATTTTCTGGCAACAATTTCTAACCAAATTTGTGGCTTACTTAAGTGAAAATGGAGCTGCATAAAAAAGTGTCCCAATGGAAAATATGATTACCTTCACTTCATGAGAAGTAAGTTTTGACAGTGTTTACATTCGTCTGTCTTCTGTCAAGAAATTTTTTCATCAAACATGAAGTAGGAAACCTTTCATTTAAGGTAATAAACTCATAACTTAAGAGAACTGACAAAGTGCCAAGGAACTAGCTCGACCAGTTATCTGGCAGTCACATTTGAACACGTTGTTCTATACTAAAACACATACTGTATTCTCATTGCAAAAGGTTAGTTAATGTTTACTATATAAGCCCTTTTTTAAGGTTTAATGTTGTCAGAAGGAATTTTAAATCATTGTAAACTAGCTCTGTATGTTAATCAAAATTTAAACTAGATGAGTTTTCAGAACATTTAGAAGTAGGGCTGGGCGATATGGAAAAAAACTATATCACGATATGGATTATTTTATATCACGATAACGATATATATCACGATATACCATGTATATACGATAGACATGTTTCTCTCGTCCTCACGATATATATCGCCATATCGCCCAGCTCTATTTAGAAGGATTAATGATAATAGTTATTTATATAAAAGATGTTGGCAAATTGTTTAAACC